AATTTCGCTCTCGTTTCCAGCGAAGATAATGTTTCCCATTTGATTCTCCGGTTGTTCTTCCACCAGATCTTCGTATGGAGCTCCATTTTTTACAGTGTACCGTGCCAACAACAAGGTGTTGATCGGTTGATAGGTCTGCGCGTCTCTTAACCCTAATATCCATTACGGGGCGTCTTATGTCAAACGATACGATGATCATATCGATCATCTATTTGTGTGCACAGGCTTGTGGGTAGTAGGAACATATTGATGCGCCCTTCGATGCTCGAAGACGGTACTTATACTGGACCGTTCATTTTATGCACAGAATTGCAGTAACTTCATTATTGTTAAGGTCGCTAGAGCCGTTTTTTCCAATCACGCCGTTTCACTTGTCAGCGTCTACTCCGACATGCGCATTAAAATCGCCCATGTGTATTAGGGACTCTGTATTCGGCACTTCCTCAAGAAGGGTACCATATTCTTCTAAATTGGTCTAACAGAACTGTTCCAAGGTAGCGTGTTGTAGATTCAGTCTGAGGATCGTCTTACTTCCACTGACATGTTTCCATTCAATTATTCTCTCAGCGAGGTTTGGTTCTACCAGAACACCATCTCCCGGCTTATGGCCGCGGTTCAGGAATAGGTTCAGGATTGCAGAGCCTTGGCGCTTCTTTGACGAGAGTCCTATTATATCGATTATATAGTACATTATGGCCTCATCAACTGACTTTCTCTCTATCCCTGCGAGTGAAGATATATTCCAATTTCTGACTTTAAGCTCCTACTGACGTTGTTGGTCACATGAAGGCTTTTCTGGCGTGCTATAGTATCATCGCGCTGACTGCCTCATCGGCTCAAAACGGGTTGTGGCTGCATGGCTGATTGGTATTCTTCGTCGTCATTTCGTCTATCATCGTCAGCCGCTGTTCTGCCTCCGACTTCTATTAGGGGATGTGCATGTTCTGATCAGCGACTTTTCATAGTCTGCCTCAGTCGCTGAACAGCCTCCGTGGGCCTTGCTAACCCACTCAACGACCGACCGGGTATGATTTTTGATGACATGAAAGCCAGGTGAGTAAGTTTTACGGTAAGATAATTTGGTGTTATTCTTGGCAAGAGAGTTCATGACATTCGGTGTTCTCCATGACATTTTAAGATTGAACTATCCTAACAGATGTCAAGATTGCTGTTCTGCATGGAAATGTATTCGTGGTGCTTAGGTGCATTCTTGAAACTTCTGGTGCTCTGAGGCGTCATGGGACTCGTTGAGATAACTTCCAGCAGCGCTGTATGCCCAATGTACTGATTGTGTCATGCTATCATCCAATTGCGATCAGGGGGCTGAAAAAACAAGCAGATGAACTCAGATACCGCTCATTACATACTTTGATAAAACCACGCTAAGAAAGATCATTGCGATCATAGGAAAAATTTTGGAACGTTGGAACAACAATCTAGCCATAAATACACTGGAGGACAATATAAAACATAGAAGCACTTTATTGCTCTAGGCCTGCTAGCTACCAGAAACACATCGGTTAATCTCTCTTAATATCAACTGAAAATTACCGTTAGAACATAAAACTAAAAAATTCTATTCTATAAAATTTCAGATGATGACAATTTCCCCTTATAATGACCATCTATAGTTGTTGGTTGCTTTTGGCCTAAAAATATTGACTGTTTTTTTACAATTTATTTATATATGTGACATCAAAGTTGAGTCTAGTTAAGTAGTTACGTTAACTCTTGTTCATCAGAAGTGGTTTCTTAACCTAATACTCCATATGTGCTATAGTATGGGTATCAAAGTATTTTCGTACACCGGATTATGTTACTTTAAATAACTCCTTTAAAAACAAAAATTTTTCATGCTTTCAGATAAGTTCTTATGTTCGTTGTAGTAATATAAATATAGTGGCTCTTACAGGTAACATTACCTGCAAATTTTTATTCTACAAAACGACGGGTCATGCCGACCTTTACGTGAACCTTCATTTTTCGAATACGCCGAATTTCTTTCATTACTTCAATGCTCCACCGCCCGCCAAACTATCGCTGAAGGTTGAAATGGTTCATCGGAAAAAGTATGAGCAGTCTCGGACATTTTCGAACTTCAGTATGGGATCCGTGGTTAATCATCCTGCAGATTTTGTCCATGC